TGTTAGGGAAAGGCTCGAGAACGAGTAAGTATGTTCGTGTACGTTAGTAAGTAAGTTTATATGTGAAAGAGAAAGAGACAGAGAGACACACAGAGAGAAAGAGAGAGAGAGAGAGAGAGAAGTCAATGAGTGGCACGTGCTAATGAAACGCGACAACCAACGCGAAGTCATGTCCGATCGCGTGGCGACGGACGCCAAGAGCAAACCGCCCCGCAGGTTGCTCGATCGTGACGGCAGGACGATGAACGGGCGAGCATGTAATGTCCGATTATGCACTTGATCGAGAGGTGATCTCGATAAATCGCCGAAAGCCATTGAAAGATAATCTCAGATAATTCAGTTCTAAATATTCCCATTGTATTTATTTATGCGTTCTTTGTTTTCTATTCCTTTTCCTTTCTCTTTCATTCCCTTTCATTTTTTGTCTCTGCTGTTTTTCGTTCATTCGTTTGTTTGTTTGTTTGTTCGTTTATTTTTTTTTTTTTTTTTTTTGATGCAATACAAGTTATATGGACCATATGAAGCGTGTCAAGATTAATAATATTGTCGATTATGATCGTAATCGAAGAATTAAAATAATCATCAAACAATCGTTAAATAAGGAAAAAGAAATTGTTATATAAATATATATATATATATATATATATATATATATTGTAAATAAATAATTCGTTCGTATTTATTCGATATATCGATATATAAAATTATTAAGTACTGTAATATTATTAATTTGCTCGAGATATTCTTGAAACTTATCGATTGCAAAGAGAATGAAAAATTAAACCATTTCCTTTAAACAGGATAGTCAAACGAGAAAAAAAAATGACACGCGAGAAAGAAAAAGCAGAAAAAAAAATGAAGGACATGAATCGTTTGTCAATAAATAAATAAATAAATAAATAGAAGAAGAAAGAAAGATAAACGTCATCGAAAGATAATTTTAACAATTACGAATAATCCGGTTGTCATTAGGAATGATTGATCGATCGAACGGCATTAAAATATTTATCTCACGGATCTTCGAAATTCAATATGATCGATAATACAATTGTAAAATGACGATAACTCGTAACGAATAACTAGATAATATTAAAAGACCATTACAAATTGCGGAATGATGTTTAGCGAGATTTAACCCGATTAGCGAGCTTCGGACGCTCCTTTGTTTAAAGAAAAAATTCGCGAGAAAATGTGAAAAATTCTAGTTGGCATTGGAAGCAAGCGGTCGTCGTTCGTAGAGAGAAAAAAAAGGGGTTGGGGAGGGAGGTTGGGAAAATATAAACAAAAAAAAAAAAAGAAAAAAAGAAAACTTTTTCTAGGAAGGGAAAAAACTGTAAAACTGTAGTATGTAACTAGGTATATCGAACTGTGTCGTTGTCCTGTTTCATTAGCAGTCGTATACCCATTGACGAGTTCGTTACTCCGTTCATTCAGTGTCCTAGCGAGAGGAGGCAGGCAGGTCACTTGCCTCTCTCTTTCTATCTCTTTCTCTATCTCTGTCTCTCTTGGTCTCTGTAAATACAGACACCGGAGAGCGAACGGAGTCGCCGTTCCAGACACAAAAGTCAAGGAACCTTTGGAATAGCAAGAGCCGCTCTCGCCAATTGCCGTCACCACCGGCACCGTGTGCCCGTAACAGTCCGCAACGGTCCGCGGTATCTGCGGTCTCTCGATCTTGGACTTAAAAGACTCTGAGCTAAAAGCCCTGCCGAACGAGTACTACTCTTCTCCATCGCCCCACTATCACCCCAATCCCCTCCCAATCCCTTATTCCGTCCTTCTCATTCTTCTCTTCCTCCTGCTCTTCCTCCTGCTCATCCTTCTGCTCTTCCTCCTGCTCTTCCTCCTGCTCATCCTTCTGCTCTTCCTCCTACTCTTCTTCTTCCTTCTCTTCCTCCTTCCTATCCTGTGTCATTCTTATTCCTCGTATTTCCTTCTCCTTCTTCCCTAACTCTTCCTCTTCCTCCTCTTCCTCATCGTTTTACAGTCTTTATCGTGACGTCGGTCCAATCAGTCATTTCCTTTTACTGTTTTCTTTTTCCACCGTTCGTTTCTTTCTTTTTTTCTTTTGTTTGTTTGTTTTTATTTTTCTTTTTGTTCTCCTTTCTCTTTTTTCTCTCCCTACTATTTCTTCCTCTGTCGCTCTTTACTGAATCTTTCTTTGTTTTTCTTTTCTCTTAATTTTTTGTTTTCTTTTTCTCTTATTTTTCTCTCTCTCTCTTTTTTTTTTTTTCTTTTATTATTATATCATTGTTATTTATATTCTTTTGTTGTTGTACAATTTTATAGAGAAGAACTTTCTTCTCGATGATTTTATTATTTCGTAATTTGTAATTTCTTGTTTTGTTCTTTTCTTTTTTTTTTTTGGTTTTTTTTTTCGTTCACGATTACTTCATTATTATTCATTATTGTCAATGATATATATATATATATATATATATATATATATATATATATATAACTTTTATTTATTATACAGCTTTGTAAAAAAATATTACTTTTCGATGATATTTAATATTGTTCATTTTCTTCTTTTTTCAATTTCCCTTTTCCATTATAATTAATTCATTATTATTCGAATAATTATTCATATAATATATAATATGCCTTTTTTCTTTTAAATGTCCAATTTTTTTCTTCATTTATTTATTTATTTATTTATTTATTTATTTATATTTGTATATCGTCTTTCTCTCTTTCTCTCTCACTCTCTCTGATCTTTCTATTTCAACTCGAGATAACACGTCTCCGAAAGAAAATATATTTTAATTAACGTCCATACTCCTTTTTTGGGAAAATTTTCAGAACTCCAGAACGAGATCATAATCCGTAATTCTTTTACGTCGTTTACGTAAAATGCGATGTGGAAATATGATATCAAAATTTGTCTCCGTATAACGAAGTACATACATACATTACAATACATACATACATACATACATGCATACATTTGCACGTGTCGGAGATTACAGCTGATATTTCAGTGATAAAGCATCGCGAATTCGTGGGTTCTCCTTTTTAAATGGGGAATAGATGCATGAGAATGAGAGGGGGGAAGGGGACGCTCGGGGTCGGTCAAACAGGGTGGAGGGAGAATGGAAGGATACAAAATGAGATCTCTCTTAAGCAACAAAATAAAAGTAATAAAAATAAAAGAGAATAATTGAAGGAAGGAAGGAAGGATGAAGGAAGAGAGGGAACGTGGGAGGATAAGAAAAAAAAAAAAAAGAGATCGGCCCAGTCAGGTCCAGTTGAGTCGAGTCGAGTCGAGTCGAGTCGAGTACAATCTGGTCCAGTCCGGTCCGGTCACGAAACTTCAAAGTTCCCGGCATGGAACGGTTCGAGGTTCGGACGAGTTAAGAGACTCTCGGTGTAACGAAGAGACGGGAGTGACTCGTTTGGACTTCTACGGCGAAAGATCGAGTGACAAGCGAATACGCCGACAATTTGCATACCCGTTCGTTACAATCACGCCCTCGTGCCGCGCGAAAGTCATCGCTCGTTAACGACGTCCCTTAGTAACGAAATACTCTCTCTCTCTCTCTCTCTCTCTCTTTCTCTTTCTCTCTCTGTTCGTGTCTCTATGTATTTCTTTTTCTGCCTTTAACACCTCATCTAATCTAAGATACTTAAAAAATCAAATGTCATATCTAAATTTCCATTAGATTCTGATCTGTTCTTTTTTGTTTTTGCTTTTGTTTTTGTTTTTTTTTTCTTTCTCTTTTTTTCCTTCCTTTTTTTTTATAACACCAACGAGTTCACCTTCATTTTTATATATATATATATATATACATATTTTTTTTTAATATCGAATTAATCGTTAAAAAAATTATTGTTAATTATAACGGATCGATCGATCAATCTTATTTGTTATTGTATATTATAATTATATTTTTTATAATTAATTGATAAGTGTTGTACGATAAATTATATATAGTTGTATTAAATATATATATATATATATATATATATATATGTATATCTTGATTTAACGTGCAATATATGCTCCGAAATATATTATTATACGATAACGCAAATATAAAAAGGTATGCAACAATACTTACAACCCCCTTATTTATGAATCAAGTTAACATATACAAAAGAAAAAAAGAAAAAAGATAGAAAAAAAAAGAAAAACAAAAAAGAAGCTCAAAAATCGTAATAAAAACGATTAAAAAATTTTTCAATAATGTCGTAATATTTAAAAAAAGAATCAAGAAGAAAAAGAAGAAATACAAAGAATAAAAAGAAGAAGGAGATAATATTGAAATAGATTTCGTCTGATAAAAACTCTCTCTCTCTCTCTCTCTTTCTCTCTCTCTCTGTCTCTCTGTGATCCGTTAATGCAGTAAATTTTTTCGCAGTAGTACCTACTTCGGACGACAAACACGAGTGGTAATTCAGTTCGCGAGACAACGTCGAAGAGAAAGACTTTTCAATAGTCATCGTGGTAGGAAGTGGGCACTCTTTGGATGGCGCGGAGTATCGCCCACGCCTTTCGTTCTTCTCCTAGGAAATTTCAAGTTCGTCGTCTATTCGGCTTTGTACGGGTCGTTTGTACTAGAATAAGAAGTCTTCGTTGCTCGGTAAATCATATAAGCCGTATGCGTAAAAGTCCGTCGAGAGAAGTAAGAGAGGCGAAAGAATATGAATATACGAATATACGAATACTTGGTACGAATACGAATACGAAGAAAATATAATAATAGTATGAGTGTAGAGTGGCTGTTACGGCAGCTGACGCGGCTTGAACTAGAGAAGTCATTCTTCTGAAAGAAACTTCTTGGCGAATCACTATTACCGCACGTCGCAAGACGAGAGAAGAGAGAATTCGAGAAGGTGGAGGAAGAAGAAGAAGAGAAAAGAAAATAAAAAGAAAAAAAAGAGAGAGAGAGAGAGAGAGAGAGAGAGAGAAAAGGAAAGAATAGAAAAGAGGAAAATCAAGAAGAAGAGGAAGAAGTAGTAGAAAAAAGAGTCGTAGAGATAAAATCAAAACTCACCGAATCCCATACGAACTTCCTCCTCGTCGTCGCTATCGATATGCTTGATACCAGCAACTTCAAAGCTTCTAGCACATTGATCTTTCCTTGATTTAGTAGATAGAGAAGAGGAAGATGCCAGACCGCAATCACACTCGTCTTCAGCACCGTGTTCGCCGCAGGCACAATCCTCACCGGCACACTTGCATCCAAGAAGAGGATCGTCCGTGTCTATGTTCCTACATGCAGGACAGGGAAATGTAAGATCATCGAGGGAGACCCTCTCGATCTTTCGTTCAACGGTGACGAGAAGATTGGCGATGTAAGTCGGCAGTTCCTCGTCGGTAACGTCCTCGAGGTGTCGAGCCTTCTGGAACCGTTGTTGATGTTCCTCGAGTTGCTCCTTCCTCGTTTCCCTCCTCGTATCAACTTCCTGCCTTGCTACGAGTTGCTCCAACCTAAGGGGACTCTTTAAATCCTCAGGGGCTATCGGCCTGCTTCTCATCTCGCATCTACCACTTTCCTTCCACTTTTCCATCGTAGTTGATGATATTACTTTGGCGCACCTTTTCACTTTTGCCGAAAGACTAGTTAAAGATTCGAAACTTTCCTCGTATGATTCTTCTTGTATCTGTTGTTGTATCTGTTGTTGTTGTTGTTGTTGAGAATATTTTTCGAAAACACCTTCGTTATCTTCTATATCGTTCTTCCAACCTATGACGCTCGACACCGAACTCGATTTCGTTACCGGCGTCATAGCCGTCAACATCGTATGCCCAACATCGGACTCTTTTTCTTCTTCTTTAACTTCCTTCGATCTATCTTCCTCTTCCTTATAAATTTTACCAGTTTCTCGCGACCTACGACGTGCTCGGGCTACCGTCAATGTCGCACTTGTACTAGCACCGCTATTCGGGCCCGTCGTCGTCGTCGTTGTCGTCGTTGTTGTTGTTGTTGTTGTTATTGTTGTTGTTGTTGTTGTCGTTGTTGTTGTTGAACCGTGTTGAGTTTTTCGCGATGGCTCTCGCCAATCCATAAACTCGTCCTCGCGCTCCCAACCGAGGATCCCTGGGGCCCTCATCGACGTTGCTCGCCAGATCACTGCTATCTGAAATATCAACCATTTTTCATTCATTAGAAATTTAGAGAATATAGAGAAATATAGAGAATCTTTTGTAATCTATGTAATCTTTTAATTATTTGATTGTAGATTGGTAAAAAGAGAGAAAGAGAGAGAGAGAGAGAGAGAGAGAGAGAGAGAGAGAGAAGAGAAAATATTAACAGAGAGAATTTCAATAATTATATAGGATATATACGTAATAATTTGGATATGTATGTATATATGCACGTACGTATATACAGACGTTTTAAAAAGTTTTACAATAAAAATTTATATTTATTTCATTTGATCGGGCCAATAATTATATTTGGAATTCGTTAATTGAATATTTTTTTTGTTTTTAAATAAAAATACACTAAATGCAGCGTTTTTTTTTTTTTTTTTTTAATACGATACAAAATATTGAAAATTCACTTATTGGTTAAGTGGATACAAAAAATTAAAGAAAAAATTGTGTAAATTGTAATTACTATTATAGATAGATATATTATTAGATATTACTATATATATATATATATATATATATACATTAGCGATTTTCCTGTATACATAAAGAAACGACATTCGCATATTCTCTATTGTTCGATTAGATCCGCTTAGAGCAAGATGCTTCGGGAGAGGAACGATCATCACTAAGGAACGTTAGGAATCCTCAACACCTCCTCGATGTTCAGGACCATCCTTCGCGACGAATACATGCGAAAAAAAAAGAGAAAGAGAAAAAGAAAAAGAAAAAAAGAAAAAGAAAGATGTATATATATATATATATATATATAAAAACCAAAAAAAGAATAAGAAGACGATGGTTGGAAAGAAGGAAAGAGAAATAAGAAAGGAGGGGAAGGAAGAAAGAGAAAGAAAGAAAGAATGAAAGAAAGAAGAGGATGGAAAGAAAAGGGACGTGACTCACCTCGACGGTATTCCGCTCGACGATTTCAACAGCAGCAGCAGCGGCCACGGCACCGCTCGACAAAGTGCTCGCAGTTACGGCTGCACTCCGCACGCAGAGGTAACATTCCCCGAGTCTTAGTGCCGAAGCTTCGAGCTCGCCCAGCTGGAGGACAAGGGCTCTCCCGCCTATCGTAAGAGGCCAACCTTCAGGCACCACTAATTCATTACCCTGCAAATCGTTAACAATCTTAAGTTAATCCGACTGGTACTTCATTCATCATAACATGATAATGATTTGAATGATGATCATTATGTTAATTCGATTGGTTATATCATTCATTATCATCATCATTTACAATCTTACGTTAAAACGATTCGATTATTTTAATTCATTAATCTTGAAAATTTTTTAACGATATTAAAAGTTAATTCGTTCATTAATCCTACAAAATCGTTAACAATTTTAAGTTAATTCGATTTGTCATTTTAATTCATTAACAATAAAAAATTGTTAATGATATTAAGTTAATTCGTCCATTATCCTTGCAAATCGTTAACAATCTTAAGTTAATTTTAATGATTATTTTAATTCATTAACCCTGAAAATTGTTAACGATATTAAATTAATCGCATAGATATTACATTCATTATCCCTAAAGATCATTAATAACACCAAGTTAATTCGATTGGATATTTCATTCATTAACTCTAGCAAATTGCTAACAATCTTAAGTTAATTCGATCTGTACTTCATTGATTAAATCCAACAAATTGCTAACGTTCTTAAGTTAATTCGATCGGTATTTAATTCATTATTCCTGCAAATCGTTAACATTCTTAATTTGATTCAATTGAATATATCATTTATCAATCCAACGAGTCATTGACAATCTTAAGTTAATTTAATCGTTCTTTAACACATTATCTTGAAAATTTCTAAATCATTAGCCTAATACGCGAACATATCATAATCATCGATATGATTGAAAAATATTAATGCTTAATGTGGATCATTATAGTATAACGTAATGTACGATATAACATTATCTTAGAAAGATTTATGTATGTATGTATATATATATATATTTATTTATTTTATAATTAAAAAATACTCTAAAATGGTGAAAAAAAATTTTGATTTATATATAATAAATACAATAAATTCTATAGATTTTCTATATATTCTAGATATTCTATATATATATATATATATATATATATATATATATATATATGCACATTCTATACAAGTTAGAAATCGAGAATTGAATACGTTACTTTGAAATGCATTATTAATAACGTTGATTCAAAGGTAATCGGAGTTTCAAGGAAGGGAAAGAACGAAAGGCAGATTAGGGCGAATTCCCGAGAGGTTTCGTTCTCTCTCTCTCTCTCACTCTCTCTCTCTCTCTCTTTCTCTCTTTCTCTCTTATCTCCCACCCTACGCTGACGAGTCGGAATGCGACTGGAATTTAATCGGATTCAAATAGTGTTGCACGTGCGCAGTACAAGAAAGAAAAAGAGACAGAAAAAGAGAAAAAGAGAGATAGAGAAAGAAAGAGAGATAGAGAAAGAGAGATAGAGAAAGAGAGAGAATCAAGTTGGAATGTATACCCCTGTTAGTACCCACGCCGGACGAGTACCTTCGAAAGGCGCAGCAGAGACACCTTACGCTTCGTAATGCTTTGTAATGCATCGCCCACGTGCGTCCTATGTATGGCACGCAAGCAATTAGACTAGAAGAAAGTAGACACCCTATGTGTGATAAGTCCCTCTCTTAACCAAAGTTCCTTACATTCCAAACGACAAAGGTCGGACTATCCTTAACTAGTCAATCTATTCCTAAAAACTTTTCATATGGTCGATAGAATTTCATTTACTTCGTATTAAAAAGATATCGTCGTTTAATTTTCCAAGACTTTCGATTTATTTATTATAAAATAAAACTAGGAAAGAAAAGTAATATTAAAAATTGAAATTGATTATGAATTGAAATCGACAATAATACGTAATAATTTATTAATGGCATCGTACGATTATTAAATTTTCTACGAACTATAAGATTTTCGATATTTCTTATTAATATAAAATATTTAAATATATATATATATATATATATATATATATATATAAATATAGATAGATATAGAATTATTATTACGATTAAAGATATAAATAATAATAAAATTTATTTAATAACAATACAATTCTTTCCTTTTGTATACATGAAATTATATATATATATATACATATATAAATATTATATTTATATATAATTTCATTTTCGATTCAAGAAACGATGGATTAATTTAAGACATTGATTTTATCGTTTGTACGATTTTGCCGCAAAGTAAAATAAAGTAAAGTAAAGTGAAGTAACTTAAAATAAATAAATAAATAAATAAATAAATAAATAAATAAATAAATAAGTAACTAAATATGCAAGCAAGCAAGCAAGCAAACAAGTAAGTAGTTATACCGTCGTTCGGGAACTTAATTAAGGTGTGCTTGACGACGACGCGTTTGAATATAACGCACGTAGGTAGAGAGACAGAATTCGAGATAGTAAGATTCCAAGTATTTATGTATGTATATAAGTATACGTGCCGAAGCTTTAGCCATCGCGTGTCCGTGTCAGTGTCGCGTGCCGTGCGTCTCAAGGCACACGCACATACACATACACATATATATACACAAATATATATACATACACACACACGCATATATACACATACATACACACACACCAACCAACCAACCAACCAACCAACCAACCAACCAAACAGCCAACCAACTCAACCATTTTCCCTTCGCGTGTTTTCTACTTTGTCCTATCCTCTCTTCATCGTCAGCTTACGTGCTAACGCAAAGTCCTCGAACAGGAACTGGCCCAGATTCCTTATGTCTATCCTTATTTGCTTAGGAAAAGTGAGTAAGTGGTAATAATCGATGTAAATAATGAGAAAGTGAATGGAGATTTGTAAATGGTAACTATCTCTTTCATTTTTCTTATTACTTTTCTTTTCTTTCTTCTTTTTCTCTTTTTTTTTTTTTCATTTTCCCATATTAATTTGATTTAATCTATTCAATTGATATCCGATATTTCGTATAGAAGAGAATAGTCACTTTTAACTTCTATAATTACGAACAATTTTGAAAGATATTTCTGGTCCTCACCTGTTAACTCCTCTCTACTCCCATCATCCTTACAACCCCTTTCTTCATTGCTAATTTTAACCCTTTCGCTACGACGAAATTGGCCAACTTTGTACTGTCGTTTTTCTAGGTCACTAAATTGACTTAGCGAACGTATAATTAGAGATAATTTTATCGTCTGATATAACGTCTAATACTTTTGTAATAATTATGCAAATTTTAATATTCGTTTATTATCGATATAAATAAATAGAAATTGTAATAGCCTATACTCGATTGTTATAAGGATATTAAGATATAATAGGTTAATTGAAAATTTTTCATTCAAGTAATAATCTTAATTTATCTTAATTAATTTTAATTAATGTATTTTAATCATTTTTATAATTATTTTTAATATATAACGAATCTACAATGTTCAATGATTATAGTAATCTTTAATAAGGACAGAGATAACGAACTTAATATGTAGTTATTCAACTTTCAATATATCAACAAATCTAGCTCTGCTAGACGTATCTATCTATCTACCTATCTAATATATATATATATATATATACATATATGTATATATGTAACTTAAATAACGAATAATAATTTTATTCGATTAAATCCGGTTAAATCCAATTTTGATATCCGGTCAAAGTGAATTTATACGAAGTTTTATTCAACGATAATGAATCTGAATATATCAGAATTCATTCGATTTCGATAGAACGGAAATCAACTCTCGCTATAAACTATAACATTCAGTTATCTAATCATCAATAATCGAACAAAATTAAAGTGATTATGCTATATCAGAGAACGATATATATATATAACATATCTTATGATATTTAAAACTTTGATATTTTTAATAGATATTATTTTAAATAATTAATTGGAAATTATTTAAGGCTCTATACAATTTAATTTTATCGTACAATCTATTGTAATTTTATTATTGTATTATAATTTCAATAAATACAATCGAAAAATTTTTATTCGATGACACTCAACGTCGTCGTCGTCGTCGTCGTCGTCGTCGTCGTCGTTGTCGTCGTCGTCGTCGTCGTCGTCGACGTCGTCGTAGTTAAATTGGATAAATCCAAATTTTGATATCTTGCCAAAGCGAATTCAGTACTAATTATATTATGTTATCCAACGATAACGACTCTATATATTCAGTATTAATTCAATTTAGATACAAGGAAGTCGACTAACCCTAACTATATCATCTAATCAAATCAATATTTAATATTAAATCTTAATTTAAATCAATATTTAAATACAGTTAACGTAAATTATATTTAACCAGCGAATTATTTATATATCAAAAGTATATCTGTATTTTAAATATGATATTATCGAAATAAAATATGAAAAAGTTTGACATTTGATTAGGATGTTTTTATCAATTAATTGTAAATTATTCGAAACTTTATACAATCTATTCTCGTAGCAATAAACAAATACAATCGTAAAATTTTATTCAACGACATCCAACAATCGACATTCGGCGTCATCGTTGTCGTCGACGTCATTATAGTTAATTGGATAAATTCAAATTTTAATATCTTGCCAAAGCGAACTCACTACTAATTATATTATGTTATCCAAATTGAATATTCAGAATTAATTCAATTTCAATATAAGAAAGTTGAATCTCGTTAATTATACTATGAGAATTATTCAATCGTCAATATCTAAATACAATTAATTATTGTGTTATACAATATTAACGAATTACACGTATATCATAAGTGTATCATTATCCGTCATTACGAACGATGAAGTTTCGTAACTACTATAAATATCATTAGATTTGTTTCAAATTTTATATAAATAATCTCGATTAAATTATATCTTATAATTTTTTGCAACATTACCATTTAAAACTTAACTCTAACATGGATATTTTTATTATATAAATTTTTTAACAGCGAACGTTCGAATAAATTTTGACGAGTTATTATAACATCATAATTCTATATCTAAATATGATATTATCAAAATAAAATATTACAAAAAGGGATTAGAACATTTGATTAGAATATTTTAAACGATTGATCATAAACTATACGTAGCATT